GGCGGCGGGGCCCGCCCCGGCCTGTCCCCTGGGCCCGGGACCCGCCGGGGCTGAGCGAGAAGGCCTCGAGTCCCGCGGCGACCGCGGCCCCCAGCTCTAATCCGTCCTGGCAGCTTCTGGAAGAGGGGCGAGGAAAGGCCAAGTGGTGCCAGAAATCACAGCAACAACCGGATGGCAAACCCAAGTTCACGTTCATTAGCTCTAACAACCTAATTGCTGTTAATCTCCCATAATCATCTAAAACTCGAGTAAGTGAGCCCGGCGTGATAACACACTTCTCTGAGTTATAAGCCGAATTGGTGTTTGCTCTCGGGACATGAAACCCTACAGATTTAGGAAGACTGTCGAGGCATAAGTTTCTCATCCTTTTATGTCTCTGTACTCAGCTTTCCAGTGAAAACACAGACAACACCATGAAGTCCTAAGAAATGGCGCCCTTTATTTCTCTGGACGTCTTTCCGCTTGAGTTCTCATCTCCCGCTATGTTACCTTCTTCCAATAAAAGCGAAGAATTTTTTCTCCCCCGAAGCGACATATAAAAAAATACATGTAATTAAAAGAAAAAATGGCCGCACCTAACGCACGACTTTTCCGAGTTGCTTGTGCTCCCTTACATCAAAGCGAAGCGCGCTCTGGCGCGGAGGTCCCGCATACCGCGGAGTTGCCGTACCTTCTCCGTTTGCACATTGCCCTCGGATTTACATCACACCCTAGCCGAGCAGCAGCGGTGCAGAAAGTTACTGTGTTCTCTCCCGTCCGAAGATATTTTTTGACATTATCTCATTTCCTCAAATATATTTGCTATGATCTAACCGAGCTAGGAGTCTCAGGCTTTTAGCATGGGCTTTCAATAATTACTGTCTGCCTCGCGCCTGTTCTCTCTAAGTAAAAACAGTTCAGCTTTTTCAGCACCTTCTTTGCCCGAATTTGCCGTTGGTAACTTTATCTTTAGGAAGTTCCTTCTCTTCCGCCTCTCGTGTTAACGTTTGCTGAAGTTGTCCCAGAACAACGAGTAATGCAAACGAAGGAGGAAAACAATTGATTAATACTTCCCCCAAACTTTCCCCCATGTTCACTACATCCTGTTGTTAAGTTTTAACTCGTCTGAGGTTTTAATAGCAAAACAGAACAGTTTTTTTCTTCCCCTTTAAAATAGCTAGTTACGATAATGAAAGAATTTAACAGTAACGCTGGGATAATTCTTAAGATTTTTTTTCTGCAATACTGTTTCATGCCTTTTCTTCTCTTTAAAAAAATCCATTTCAAGTCCGAAAAAACTTTTCTGCTTGGCCTCCACACAGCGCCGGGGCCCCCGGAGCCACTCGCCTGGGGGTGATGAACTTGAGCTGCGGGTCAGCACTGGGGCCGGTTCTGCCCCTGCTCCCAAATTAGAGCTGCCTGTGACTGAGGCGCGGACGGGCGCCCTCCCCGCAGCCACGGCTCCGCGCCCGCGAGGGCCGGCGCTGTGTGCGGATCTCAGGAAGGTTTGGGGACCCTCGTGTGGCTCGGGGACACGCGCGGAGCGGCGGGCGCGGAGGTG